CCAGACAAAGCAGCAGGACTTAGATCCTTTCGCTGCAGACACCAAGACACAACAGCAGGACTTAGATCCTTTCGGTGCAGACACCAAGACAAAACAGCAGGACTTAAATCCTTTCGGTGCAGATGACCAGACAAAACAGCAGGACTTAGGTGTCTCTGGTGTAGACACCAAGACAAAGGAGCAGGACTTGGATCCTTTTGCTTCAGACAACCAGGCAAAGCAGCAGGACTTGGATCCTTTCGGTGCAGACAATCAGACAAAACAACAGGACTTGGATCCTTTCGGTGCAGACACCCAGACACAACAGCAGGACTTCAACTTTGACATATTCAGCTCAGATAACAACCTGTTCAATCCGCCTCCAACTGGTAATGTGCCTCAAGGAGGAACTGATGCTTCCACAACTCAGTCATCCGTCTTTACCGATGATATCTTTGGAATCAGTGACGTCTCAAGCAGTGCAGATGTGTTTACAGTGCAGCCAAGCAGTCCAGCCACTAATCAGAGTCTGGACTCCGATTTACTGACTGATGTACTTGGTTCTGATGCTGTTTCCTCTGCTGCTCCATCAGCTCAGATGGATCTTTTTGCAGGTGACATCTTTGCGTCAGAGACACAGTTGCTGCCATTATCTGAGCCGAGTAATGCAAATGTATTAGTGGACAGTCTTTTAGTGACTGAAAACAACAGCACTGAGCAAAAAACAGACAACAGTAGCTGGATGGATGATTTGCTTGCATAGGCTGTGTCTTAATGATGTACTACTTTAAAAAAGCACCAATTCCAATGCACTGATATACTAAAATGCTGAATATTTAATTAGCAAACAAAAACTAATATTGCATTCACTCACATTGCATTTTATTCAGAAATCTGGAAAAAAAAAACAAAAACAAAAAAAACGTACAATTTGTACAACTTATGTTTAAATTTGTGAGGTAGATTGTGTGCATGTTAAGATGACAGCTGCAAAATGAATGTATTTTATGATGTGATTTTCTGTCAAAGTGGAAATGAAGACAAACAGAGAATGTAAGATTTTCTGAATAACTTAACATAAAGGTAAGAAAATAAAGGAGTCAAGAGTAGACCTGCAGCAATAAATCAGTGATCAACTATTAAATTAATTGCCAACTATTTTGATAATCAACTAATTTGTAGAAATCTTCTGTTTCCATCTCCTTAAATTTTTATACTTTGCATTTTTTTATTCTTATATGACAACAAACTGAATATTTTTGAGTTGTAGACAAAACTCGACACATGTCAACATGTTTTTATTTTGTTTTGTTAATTTTCTGACATTTTATAGACCAGATTAATCAAAAATGAAAATAACTGTCAATTGCAGTTGCGAAAGTGCTAGCTAGATGTAATTTGACTTTGAAATATCTGTATAGTTTCTACAAAATAAAATCTTAAAATGCATATATGAAAATCGCTTCAAAATGTGTTTATCAATAATAATCTGTAATAAAAATGACTTGAAGACTGAGGCAGTTTTGTGTAATTATTGTTACTGTGCAACCCTTTATTTTGCAGCGAGCAAAGTATATAAGAGGTTGATACCTCCCTTAGAATTAAAAATACCTGCAGACACAGCCAGCAGCTAGTTAGCTTTGCCTAGCACAAACACTGCTAGCCTAGCTCTGTCTACAGGTTACAAAATTTGACAACCTGCACCTTTAAGTTCACATTTCCTCTATACACAGTCCAAAGTGTAAAGAAAACATAGTGTTGCAAGAGTTTATGTGCTGTACATTTTAAACAAGACAAAACATGGTAGTTAGTGAGCTGTACCAGGTGCTAACACCTTCTGACACGGTGAGGCTAAGCTAACTGACTAGCTAGCTTCATATTCACTCCATAGATATGAGCGTTTAATTAGCTTCCTCTGTAACTTTTGGTAAGACAGCAAATAAGTGTATGTATATATAAATATTTAGCCTCCTCTAATTTACTGTAACTCTTCTACATAATTTGCAGGCCTGTAGTTTCTTATGCTACAGTTATCAATATTATTCTAAAAAAATATTCACATTCACTGCCACCATTAAAAGGTTAGCATTCAGTAGGCACCTGCTCATTAAAGTAGTTTTAGCGATAGTTTTATCAAATGTAGAAGTAAACTAATCATTCTGTAATATTAATGAAGTTTTAAGTTATGATTAATTTACTTTTCTAATAGGATGTATTTATTGTGTTATAATTCTGCATTATTACCAATCTTTAGAAGGAATTTTAAACACATTTTTTTGATAACACAACCACAGAAATTTTATTCACAAGAAGTTAGTACACACCTGTCCAATATCACTCACATGTCAAATGATTTAAAATTGCATCATATCTCAGAAATTTCATTTTATGAATACGTAAAATTAAAATTAAACAGATTAGATTAACTATATAAAAATACTTAATGAAAAAAGTTATTAACTTTCAAATCTTAGATTCTTTCAATATTTTGTATGTTAAATTAGACTTTTTTTAAAGACAGACTCAATCCTCCTCGACATGGAGGATGACAGGCTTCTAGAGGACTGTTTTGTCATTGTTTTGTTTTCAGCTGCTCTTTGCTGGAAGGGTTGTGCTGCTCTGTCTTTTTCTACACGATACTAGAATAAAGCCAGCAAGTTGTACATTATTTACCAAGAGACAATACAGTCATCTGAGGCGTCTTTTCAGACCCTCCATATCTCAGGCGGCTGTCCTGGCCTCGCTGAGTCCTGTGGTTGTTGACAATAACTCAGCTAATCAGGTTGCTGAACACGCTCCCATTCATCCGCCAAGAAGCACTCCATTGAGTTCTTTAACAGGTTTTAATGAGATATGATTAAAACTGTAAGAGACAAATTACAACAGAATCACTTTGGCTTCAAAATGTGTTACAAAATTATTACATTTGAATTGCAGATGATTAGATTATTAATTACAGGCGATGCCAAAGAAAAGACAATAAAATGACTGCACATGTTCACACTGACTATCCCAGCAAACAAACTGCAGTACTAACTTTTTGCCACTAAGTGACCTCCCTGAACAACATTAAACCAAGTGATTCCATCACAGCGGCACAGACAGTAGTAATAAAACGTTTCTTAACATCTTCTGCTGCGACAAACATTTGCAGTTACATTCAAGTTACATATTTATTGGAGAGTTTTATCACAAACAACGATGATGATGTCTTTCAGCACATGGAGGAGTCATTATTTAAGTAGTTTTCAACTGAAGCACACTAAAACTTAATCATTTTCCAGAGCTGCATTTGGAAGGTTGTAAACATCTTACTTAAAAGCTTATCTTATCTCTCGTCTTATCTGTATGTCTTTCCAAAACTGTGCTGTTTCCAAAGTCATAACTACACATTATGAGTGAATGAATGAATGCCCTATATTGTCATTATACAGCTGCTATGTACTGCAGCTGCTGCTTTTACCTAGAGGAGGATGGCATCAGTGCAAAGTACTGCTAGGTATCAGCACCACTCATACATTAATACACATTAACTAAGCTATCAGTGCTTTTACATAATAATATATCCCAACACTGCCACTTCTGATGTGCAATCCCATATATTTTCACAGAACAAGATCTCGTGGAGCAATTTGTTTGGTTTTGTTGAGGAAAATATATGTAATTTAACTCAAATTTGTATGTCCTACCACAATAACTTTCACCTTAACAGCTGGCGTTTGGCCAAGGGTGCAGCCTGTGGTGGATCCTAATACACGACCCTTGTTCCAGAAAGGTCCGGTGGAATTTTTCCTCCATTCCTTCATGCATTATGATGTTGTTTCTGCATTCCTGGTAACGGGTAAGAAGTCAGCTTGGCAGACGTGGGATGTTCAAATGTTCTGTATGTTCTAATCTAACCTTAACCCGTCAACACTTTTACAATAAATATGTTTAAAAAAAACAAAACAAGCATGTGTGAGTGTTAATACTTCAGTAAAGTCTTGTTTTTTCAAACTAAACAAAGCACCAGCTTAACTCTTGAGTGTTTTTACGGTTTGGACAGTATCAATAAGTTTTGTTAATTCAAACTTAAGTTAATTCAAAGACATGTGGTACTCTATTGCGATTTGAATGAACAAGACTTGATTATATTTCGAAGGTTCGTAGACACTTTCTGTTGCAAGAACAGAATTCTGAAGTGTCAAAAATGTGATAATCAAGTTCATAGAAATGCAAAACATATGACGCCTTTGTCCACCTATTAAAAAAGAAGACCCAAACTTTTTTTTTCTTTTTCACTTTTTCTAAATAGGTGGCCCATAAATATGTATGTCTAAGTATGTTTCATTGACAACCAGACGGGCCGTGTGCAGCAAAAAAATTATCCACCCGCCAGCACCAGCCTGCGTCAGCAAAATTAAGAAAATTAGAATTTATTCTCTAAAAACCATAAACATCTGGAGCACATTGAATAAAAACAGAGTAGGAGCAGTAGCTTGATTATGGAGCAAAGAGGACAAAGAGCCCAGCAGACGTCAACATAGCATAACTACAGCCTGGTTGTCGTGCTTTGTGGAGGTTTGTCTGACAGACTTTTGTTCCTCGGGGTAGTCTGACTTCTGTGGGGAAACCCAACACGGAGAGGTTTGTGTTAGTTCAGTATGAAAGGAACAGCAGAAGTGTGTTGTTATTGGTGTAATCACATAATCAAATCACGTTTATTGGTACATACAACAATAGTACAAACAAGATAAGAGAGCGTTTCTCCAGGATCCAACGACTAAAAGCAACTAAATAAAGATAAATGTCTCTGTCACTTTCTGGACGAGATTCATGGGTTCATCAGCCTGAACATTTTTTATCTTTAGCTTATTTCACCATTGAAAAGGAGACAAGAGAAAAACACATGATACTTGTGAGTTTACTTAAAACATAAACATAACTTTGTTATATTCAGGAATATGAAGGACTTTGTAGAGCAGCTAAAACTAGACAACATCTGACAACTTAAAAAAATTAAAAAAAATCAGAATCTACAGCACCTTTAGTTGAAGCTTATCAAAAAACCTGAATTCTCACACCTCTGAGTCAGTCCTCATGTGGAAATAGACAGTTATTCACAGTAAAATTAAAATAAAAAATCCTAAAGTGAGACTAAGCTATTCACATTTCAGTTTAAAATGTGTTGCACGTCTTAACCTCTGCAGCATACGAAGTCATTGTGTAATTCACACACGTCGTAAAAGTGCTTCTAGAGTTTCTATATGACACACTTCAGTGACACAGATGATCGTGAGCCCGCAGCATTACGGCTTTGATAGAGGCGTTATCAGGGCTTGACCCAGATTTGCTTGCTTGCCGCTGGCGTACCTGTTTCTCTCGGCCTCGTCGGCTGATTCCGGAAGCTCTTTCTTTCTGGTCTCAGGAAGCAGGAGGCCGAGAGCGCCACTGATTAGGTTAATGCTGCTGAGGACTGCGATGGGTATGACCCAGTGGTACACGGCCAACATGTTCAACAGTGGGGCCACGATGGAGCCGATTCTTCCCGCGATGGATCCTAAAGCTGTGGCTGTTTGTCTGAAAAAGGGGCACATTTTACATGAGGCTTCACACTGGTCAGGAAACTTTTGACAAAGAATACAAGCTGTGAACACCTACCTAACCGATGTGGGGAACAACTCCTGCAGGTAGACAGCACACACAGAACCCGCAAATATCATGAAAAATCGTGATGCGACGGCTAAACATGTAACAGCAACAGAATAACCTGGACCAAAAAAACAAACATGTCAAACGAAGAAAAACATGAAAGAGTCCCTTCGCGAACCAAACCAAATGGTGTACCTTGGGGAACAGCGAGGATAAGCATGGAACAGACTCCTCCGATCATAAGGACTGCTATGAATAATATTTTCCTCCCAAAAATCTCCAGCAGCCAAATGGACGACAGAGTAGACGGTACTTCAAAAGCACCAAAAAGGAGCTGTGTCAGGAAGACGCTCAAGCCCAAGTTTCCGATGCCGAAATACAGGGCGAAGATGGAAAGGTTCAGTGAAAACCTTAAAAAAAACATTAGGAAAACACATTAAGGAAACACATGAGGAAACTCCTGCATCATGTAGCATTTAAATCCCAACTCGTGAACTATTGCTTCAGATTTCAGCTTTATGATGAATCTGCAGCATCAAATTACCACTTTGGCTGTGTGTGGCTAGCAGTATGATAAAGATATTATTAGAACAAGATGATGGGCTATATTCCTGTACAATATTTTCCATTCTTTGCGACTTACCATCCCAGTGCTACAATACAGAAATATCTGGTCAGTAGTGGTGATCCAAAAATTAACTTGATGCCGCCTTCGTTCACAGTTTTGCTCACTTTAATCTGTCACAGAAATATTGGTTAATGTGAATAGATGAAAAAAAATGTAGATGAATAAATGGGCAATGAAATGAATAAATAGGTTAACAGACATATGGATAATATATATTTCTATATATATAAACACATAAATATCCGTTAGATTATCGATTTACAAGCTGTCTCTTTTGTTCTGCCAAGAGAGTCGCCAACATTGAAATCTCAAGATGTAATTTCATATCTAATATTTGAATATGTCTTCAAAGATCAATGATATACATCCATCATCTTTGCTCTTTTTCCATTTTCAGTGCAGTTTCTAAATGACCACCAGATCATCAATGTTTTCATCTGCAATCCATGGGTCTGGCTCATCCAACGGTCAATGAGTCGAATCCATCAGTAAAAAATAAATCAGTAAATCTGCCCAGAGTAGGTGGTCCTCTGACTGTGCAATAAAGAGACGAGTGAGGGAGGCCACCAAGACACCTACGACTCCCTTGAAGGAGTTACAAGCTTCAGTGGCTCAGATGGCAAACACTGTGCATACAACAGCTGTTCTTAACCAGTCAAAGCCTGAAGGGAGAATGGCTCATAATAAATCTCGACTGGAGTTCACCAGGAGGCATGTGGGAGACTCTAAAGTCAACTGGAAGATGATTCTTCGGTCTGAGAAAAATGGGGTAAAGTTTCAGTGTCCAGATGTGCAAGGCTAACTGAGAACTATCCACACAGGCTCAGTGCTGTAAATGTGGCTAAAGGTGCATTTACACAATACTGACTTAGTGAATACTTATGCAGTCACTGATATTGTGTTTTGTATTTTCAGTTAATTGTCAAAAAGCCAAATTATATTTAACACAATTCAATGGTGTAAAGCAATAAAAGGGAGAAACCTTTCCAGGAGGGTGAACAGTCTTCACAGGCAACTGTTGATCCCACCTCCACAGGTTGATTGACTAGAAAGTTCTTGTCAAATAAACTGGCAGTTAAAGTAGTTTTAAAAGCCCTTGCAGGACCAAAAAAGTCACCTTGTTTAAAAAGGTATTTCTTAAGAAGACCACCTAGACTGGACCTAGAATGACTTGATGAGGAAGAGATTTCACTTGTTGTACATGTGTCGTAGACAATGTGCCGGAAAACTCCTCCCTAACATGATGCAGTGGTTCAGTACCTCATTCAGCATAGAGTCCGGGATGGGGCGTTTGTTAATGGCTGCTGCTTTGACAATGAGCTTTTTAGCCTCTTCTGTCCTCCCTCTGTTTAACAGCCACCTGGCTGACTCTGGAATGAACCTTAAAGGAAATATGACACTTCAAGTAGTCTGTCACTAACAAATGAAATAATACAAGTCAAAGAGTCAAATGCTCACCATATGTACATAACAACCAATGCAAAGGGAGCTGTTGAGATGAGTTGAGCCAGTCTCCAGTTTCGGACGAGGTAGATCAAACCAGCGAGGGCGCACTGTCCGATTGCACCAAACAGCTGAGTCAAACCTACTCCCCATGATCTTTTGGATGCCCCAATCCATTCAGTGCCTGCAATAAGCAAAACAGAAGACTAGTCATTTTAAATCACACTAACATGGCCGCATTAAAAACGAAAGACATCCACAGTGAGGCTTTCAATGTTGAACAGAGTCACTGCTAAACTACCTATTCAACATGCAAAACGTTTGTTGACGACTGCTTTGATGCCTAGAATTCAAACATTTGGCCGTCCACATCTTGGTCTTGTTGAATCAAACGTGATGAGCGAGGAGTGGATCTGAGTCAGAACTCGGATGATAGAACACAAGCTCTTAGGGTCATGACCTGCCAACCACGAGGTAGACCTGCCGTAAAACACATCGGCTGGGGCGGCTGTGGCTCAGGTGGTAGAGCGGGTTGTCCACTGATGGCAAGGTTGGCGGTTCGATCCCCGGTTCCCCCCACATGCCGAAATGTCCTTGGGCAAGACACTGAACCCCAAATGGCTCCCAATGGCAGATTAGCGCCTTGCATGGCAGCTCTGTCGCCATTGGTGTATGAATGAGAAACATTGTAAAGCACTTTGAGTGCCGCAAAGGTAGAAAAGCGCTATATAAGTGCAGACCATTTACCCTACTTTACTGTCTATTTTACTCTAAATAGAGCCATAATTTACAAAATGAAGACAATGCTGCATGAAAGAGGATGTGAACGTAGGAATTGAGGCCATAGAATCATTAGGAAAATGTTTACTGAGGTAACAAATCAAGTAAGAGGTAGGTTTTATTCACATAAACTTTCATACATTTGGTTCTCTTTGGAACCAAAGAAGTTGCCTCCTGCTGGCTGTTGGAAAGAATGCAGATTTAAAGTGTTTCTGCACTGGCTTCACTTTTCAGACTCAGAGGCTGCGTCTATCTTTCATGTACAGTCTGTGGGTTTGATTGGGTTGCAAACTATTTGCAAATCTCCACTTGTGCATTATTGCCAGTTGCAGAAGAAGAACTGAAATTATTTACAAATGTAAAATAAAATTAAAAAAAATTGCAACAAAATGTATTTGCTATTAAAAGTATTAAAAGTACTCATTTCCCAATAACCTGTATAACAGTGGAAGCATAAAGTATGAAAATAAAATAGAATATTTAAAAATTATGCAAAAGGACTTTGAGGATTTCAACTTGGCCTGTGGAAAATTTCAAAACACTTCTAACGCAATTTACATTTTTTTTCAAACAATTGAATAATCATTGGGAAGATAATTGGCAGATTAATCTATAATAAAAACAACAGTTGCAGTCTTATCAGAAATCTGTAGAAACTCTGGATACGTACTCAGTACAATACAGTTGACTCGATATCCTCCAGCTCCAACTCCCACCAAGAAGTGAGAAGCTAAATACAGGTAGACATTGGGGCACAGTGCTGTCGTCACCGAGAATACAAAAATTAAAACTGCTGGAATTTGAGTTGCTCGTCTGCGACCGAACCTGCAACAAAAGTGTAGATAGACAGGGTAAATTTAAAAAAAAAAAAAAAAAAAAAAGCACCTCACTGTGACTTTTTATGGTCCTAATATTGAATTCATGCAGATATGTTGGACTGTGATATATTTGTATTGCTGACAATAGAAGGACCTGTAGTAAGGTTTTGTTTTAAAATTGCATATTCATTAACATATTTAAAACTGTATTTAGAAAGAAAAAAAACACGTTTTTACAGTTGCATCGTAGACTAAAACACGTGATTCTTTACTGAAATACACTTACGATTCAGCAGAAGGTCCAAAAATGAGAAAACCAACAACAAGTCCAGACATGAACAGTGATTGTAACAACTGCACCATGTTACCCCGACCACAAACCAGATCGAACTGTGAACATTTTGAATAGAAAAAAATTGCTCAGCTGATTGAAGGTTATAATTAACTCAGAAACAATGTCAGTTTGTCGACAAACATCACTTACATCGGTGATTATGGTGGTCTCATACAGCATGTTTCCATACACCCATCCATTCAGGCACCTGGTGGTCTCATTGAGTCCATATTCCCTGATGGCATCAATGTCCCAGTCCACAGGGACGAACATCTGGCACCTGCTGAAGCTCCCATCATCCTCTCGGGGCAGAGTCAGGTTCAGCTGCTCCTCTGTGGTCAGGTTGGGACCAGCACTGAGGATCCAGTCTGTGTTACAGCGTCGCACTGGATCCGGCTCGATGAAAATTAAACTTGCAATGGTAAAATACTGAATGAAATTTGGAAAGCAAAGTGCAACTAGATTTATCTTCTGGAATAATCCAAATTCTCCGATGTTCCTGAGAATCTCTCCGAAGTCTGCCATGTCGATGCTGGCTACCGGGATTGTGTTGGCTTCAAAAGACTGTACCACATTTTAACAACTAGCAGCCCAGTAATAAAGCTTAATCATTTCACAGAGGCTCATTTTGACTGGCTGACTATCGTAATTGCAGTGCAGACCGTTGCTCTGTGTGTCATGAACTCATTAACACAAAGGATGGACACAAATGCTTGACTCAGAGTAGGTTCAGGCAAAAGACAGGTTTAATGACAGTCAGGGTTTGGTACACAGGAATTCATTCCAACAGGAAAAAGCATCCAAGAATTGGCAGGCAGAGGTAAAGTCCAACAAACAGAATCAAGGTCGTAAACAAACAGACTGTGACTTGACTTGAATAAACCCTGGTACGAGGACTGTGAAGTGCAACGAACTGGCGACGAGACAGTGAGACACACAAGGTAATATATACCAGGTAATGAGGGGAGATGGGAAACAGTTGCGTAGAGGTAATCAGGGAACAGGTGAGACGAGACAGGTGCAGGAAGTAAAGCCGGAACAGAAACACCCGGTGAAGTGATTTCAAAATAAAACAGGAAAGACGAGACATACAATGTGCAAACATGAACAGGAACTTGACAGACATGACACTGAGCTTTATTATGTATGTATGTATTTATTTTTTATTTGTTTTGCTTTTCCAACTGTTTGTTCTGTTTTCTTTAGTTTCACTTATTCTGTATACTTGTATTTGTTTTGTTTCTATTTGTTTTGTAAAGCGTCTTTGAGTTTGTGAAAAGCGCTCTATAAATAAAATGTATTATTATTGTTATTATTATTATATTATTCTCTACACCAGCACATGTATATAATTTATCTAAATAAAATCCTGTATCTCTAATCTTATCTCTATGTCGCTCCAAAAGCCTCTTCCTGGAGTTGTTGTCAAAGTCAATGCACATCATATGAAAGAGTGTTGCTTAGTAGACAGATGGAGTCCCACAAACTACAAAGTTGGAGCTGCAGCAGATCTGTGCTTCAAAGAATTCAAAAGATTGGCTGCGATCTTTGAGGTTTAACACTTTTCTCTCTCTTGGTTTGACCTACTTTAAAATCCTTTATCATCACAGGTTAAGTTGTTACAGCCTCAAGGTTGCATAAGGGCGTCCGTCACCCAGTTTACTTACATTTATGTGTGTCCAGGGTCATATAGTATATGTAGTAAAGACTTTGAAGTGCTTAAGTTCACTGAGAGAAACAGTAAAGAGGCTCAGTTTTATTTTCACATTCTTGGATGATTCTGATTGAACACCAAGTTACATCCATGGCATCATGAAGTGCTTTAAGTTAGCATGTTGTTGAGAAGCTACAGATTCTTAAACATGGATATTTTCACACACTATGATAAGCAATAAACTATGCTATAAAGGAGGTGGATGTTAATGTTAGAGGGCTGTCACTGAGCTGCTCATTTCTGAGTTTAGGTGCCTTGAAAAGTTTTTGATCAAAACAACAAAATTGGAATTGGCGTGGTTTTACCGGCAGCTCTGTGCTTCAAGGAATTTAAAAGATTGACTTTGATCTTATCTCGTGTCACTCTGGTTTTACAGTTCAAATGAGGACAGTCAGTCCTCTTGAGGGTACAATTGCAGTCATAATCATTAAAGCCTTGCCAGTGGGTGCCAGCGTCCCTGCCCATATGTCGCTGGCCCCTGTGCTGACTAAGCAATAAACTGATCACTTTATAATGATGACATGCGCTAGCGTCCAAACTAATGCGGCTCTATGCGCTATACAATGAACTAGATGAGGAATACATGCAGGGACAGAGAGATGAGGGAGAGGAGGGACAGCAAGGAGATGTAGAAAATGTGTTAATATTTGCAATTTGCAAATCAGTGTCATTACAATTTATAGTGCAGTACTGTCCATCCATCATCATCTATACACCGCTGTATCCTCACTAGGGTCGCTAACCACCGCGTCACCTTGCAGCCCATGATGGGACCCGCAAACTTAGATTTTGTTGAACAACCCTTTGAGCCAATCACTGCCATCAAGTGTTTTCTGTAACTCTCAGTCAGACTTCTGCACCTGTTGACAGGTGTTTGAATTTCACTGCTCATCAGCAAAGTGCTCTAATTTGTCCAGGACAGTTTTTTATTTTATTTTATTATTTCTTTCAACCACAATTCAAAAACAACATTTTACTTCACTAAATTATAATTTAGCAAATTTGTATTTATTATTACTTTTTTCAGTTTCTAGTTTTCAAAGGGCTGTTAAAACTGATGCAACACTGGCACATGTCCTCAACAAAGAACACAGCAAACAAGAAAATCTGGAATACATGAACCCTCCAATTACACTGGGTTACAAAAAAATACATTTTGAAAGTGTCTGGAATTTTTTAAAACTGATTTAAGACATTTTTGCAACGCTGAATCCAGAACTGACATCTGCTTTTCTGTATCAGGTTCAGGTTTTTTATGCCAACTCGATTTGAAAAAATCGATGTTATCACTAAATCGATTACATTTTTTGACATTAGCGATTGATTTATTTTAGAATCACCAATTAACATCAACATGTTTCTGGACTGTGTAGGAGGAAGTCGGAGAACCCGGAGAGAACCCACGCTAAAAAAGCTGTTGCAGTAATCCAAATAAAAGCATGTAAAACCATCTCTGTATATTTAAAAGTTAAATAAGAATTTTTGAAATATTTCTAAGATGATAAAAACATGACTGTGAAAGTTTTGTGGTGTGTTTTTCAAAGTTCAAGTTGAAATCAATCCAGATGCTGAGATTCCTTGCAGCAGGCTTAAGGTTTTCCACTCGCGGGCCAGCAGATGGCAGAATTTGTTTTGCCATCTGCTGGGACCCCATTACCAAGATTTCCATTTTACTGTCGTTCAGCTGAAGGAAGTTCTCTGACATCCAGTCATATAAAGCACTCAACTTCCCTGGGTCAGTGGCCTTAATGGGCAGGTACAGCTGCGTGTCGTCAGCATAAAATAAAACATGTCTTTGTATAATGTGCCCCAGGGGAAATTGGACCTAAATGAGACCCCTGAGGCACACCGTACTTCACTGGATAAAATGAGGACATGTGATTGTTTGCTGCAACACAAAACCTTGTATTAGCAAGGTAAGATAAAAACCACTCTAAAACTGTACCTGAAATGCCCACTCAATGCCCCAGTCCGTTTAAAAGAATGCTGTGATCAACTGTGTCAAATGCAGCACTGAGGTCCAGAAGTACCAAGATGGAGCACATATCATCATCATAGGCGAAGGGAGGGCAGGGGCCACAGGAGCCATGGCCCCTGCTGGAATCTGATTGGCCCCCTCTCGGCCCCCCGGTGAAATACTGTCTTGTCATTGGATAGTTTCTTTGAGGAGCGCTAGCTGGTTGTTCCAGTGCAGCCTTATGGGGGCGGGATGAACTGAGTACTGTGGTAGTGTTTGTGACGGGAGTGGCTGGAAAATAAAACAAGCACACCTATTCTCTCGCTTCCACTCTGCACTTACGGAGTTAGTGCAGACGGAGTCATAGAGTTAAGAAGAAGTTGTAGAGTTAAGAAGAAGTTGTAGAGTTAAGAAGAAGCCATGTGAGGGTCCGACCAGTGAACCCAGACAGGTTCAGGGGGACGGTTCTGAGGACAGGCATCCAAAGCAGGACCAGTCCAGCAGCTGTAGCCCATCATCAGCACCAGGTGAGACTCAGAGCAGGACAGACAGACATTCCTCAGAGACAACATTGTTCATATAAAAGAGGAGAGCATTGTGTTTATGTGTGTATTTAAATATATGTATCATTGTAATGTACCCTGAGCCATCAGGCTGTTATGAGAATTAGAATTAGAATTAGAAGAATTAGAATTAGAATACAAACTTTATTAATCCCTTCGGTGCAAGACCTCAGGGAAATTGCTACACCAGAAAAAAACAACACAACACCAACATAAAATCAGCAACAACAACAGCATTCAAAATTCAAAATCAAAAGAGTCTTCAGTTTGAGTTTCGTGAGTTGCTTTTGAAAGAAGCAGTTATTGTACATTCCATATTGTACAAGTATGTTCTGACCAGATTCGAATTTGATTTTAGTATTTCTCATATGAAATCGGATTTTAGAGGGAAAATTTCATTTTCTAATTCTTTTCATAAGCTAAATGATCCAAAACATTTGTAAAGGTAAATACAAGTAAACTGCATGTTTCATCAAATCAAAATTTTGACCTCATTGAGCAAAACCAACACAACACGCACACAGACACACACATATCAAGTAAAATGATATTGTTGGAATGTAACCAGAACAAGCACAGGAAATATCCACAAACACACACACACACACACACACACACACACACACAGTTTTCTGAAAAAACTAGCCATTTGACATCCGTCATGTTAGCAAAATTCTTCAGTGGAGTCCTGACTGCTCCGAATCAGCACACAAAGTCGTCTCTTATGTCAAAGCAATGTTTTACTTGCAGCAAGGAATCACATG